CAATATGAAAGTCAGCTTTGAACCCCCTCACAAAAAGAACAATATAACACAGTGTCAGCGCTGTCAACGTTATGGACACACAAAAGCATACTGTACAAGACCATACGCATGCGTGAAATGCGGAGGAAGTCACCCATCACCAAAATGTACAAAACCCAGAAATACACCAGCAAAATGTGCCCTGTGTACAGGAGAACACACTGCAAACTATAAAGGCTGTGTAATTTACAAGGACTTACAAAATGCAAGAAATAATCGCCAAAGCGGAAATCAGTCGACCCATAATAATCCGAACCCACATCAAAATGTTAACCCAGCACCAACTTCACAGTACCAGAGTCAACAATCACAGTACCAACAACAGAATGGAACCCAATCCTATGCCCAAGCAGTAAGAGCAGGAAATCAAGTAGCTGACATAGGGTCTCAAATGAACTTATTCTTAAACGAATTTAAAGCAATGTTCACCCAACTAATGAATCAAAACAGCATGATCCTTACCATGCTAACAACATTAATTAACAAAATTCGTTAGATCTGTTCGAATCGCCGAGTGGAACGCAAATGGTTTAGCAAACCATAAAGCAGAAGTAATCCAATTCCTAAAGGACAACAAAATAGACATCCTTCTTGTATCTGAAACGCATTTCACAGAAAGAAGCGTCATTAAAATACCTCAATACTCAGTCTACCACACTAGTCACCCAGATGGAACAGCCCATGGAGGATCCGCAATAATTATAAGGAACAATATTCAACACCATCAAATGCCGGAACATAAAACAAATGAGATTCAAGCAACAATACTTAATATAAATGCCAGGCCTTGGGACTTCGAAATTGCTGCAATATATAGTCCTCCTAGATATAGAATCACAACTGAAGAATACGAAGAACTATTCAATAAGCTAGGTAACAAATTCATTGTTGGAGGTGATTGGAATGCTAAGCATACGAATTGGGGCTCACGACTCATTACACCAAAAGGCAGAAGCCTATTAGATGCCATCAACAACACAAACTGCACCTACTTATCGACGGGACAACCAACATACTGGCCATCCGACATAAATAGACTACCAGATCTACTAGACTTCTTCATCCTAAAAGGAATTGCAGCAAACTACACAGACATAGAAGCAAATTGGGATCTCTCGTCTGACCATACACCAATCATAGCAACACTCAGCACCCACATAATGAAACGACCTGAAATACCCAAGTTAACGTCCCCTAAAACTAACTGGTGTGAATTCAAGTACCAGCTTGACATGAATCTAAGTCTTGGAATCAGACTAAAAGAAAAAGATGACATAGATAAAGCTATAAACTATCTCACCTGTCAAATTCAACAAGCTGCATATCGAGCTACACCATCAACTCCAAAGCAAGAAAACACAAATACCACTCCAAATTATATCAGACAACTAATAGTCGAAAAACGAAGAGCAAGAGGTAGATGGCAAAGAAGGCGCAATATTAATGACAAACACGAATATAATCGACTAACCAGACAATTAAGAACAGCGCTAAATGATGCACGCAATGCCACATTTGAGCACTACATTAGTACCTTGTCTAAAGAAGATCACTCAATATGGAAGGCAACAAAACACTTAAAGAGACCTACAGAACACAACCCACCAATTAAGAAAGATGACGGTACTTGGGGAAGATCAGACCAGGAAAAAGCGTTAACATTTGCAGAATACTTAGCTGGTATTTTTAAAGAACACCAAGCAGATAATGATAACGATGGAAACTTAATAGAGAATTCCTGGATAGTGCTTGCCCTATGACGCCCCCAATAACACCATTCAGTCCATCAGAAGTGAAACTAGAAATAGAAAAATGCAATAACCACAAAGCACCTGGATTTGACCTAATAACAGGATTAATACTGAAAAATCTTCCGAGAAGAGCATTGGTCATGTTAACTACAATATACAATAGTGCACTCAGACTGACATATTTCCCAATCACATGGAAATTTGCGCAAATAATAATGATTCACAAACCAGGCAAACCTCCAAATAAAACATCATCCTATCGACCAATCAGCCTGTTGCCGACAATGTCTAAAATCTTCGAAAGACTACTACTTGATAGACTGAAGAAGGACATTAACCTAGACGCAGAAATACCCACACACCAATTTGGTTTTAGAGAGAGACATTCCACAACACAACAGACTCATAGAATTATAACAAAAATCCTTACTGCTATTGAGGAAAAAAAATATTGTACAGCGGCATTCTTAGATGTAGAAAAGGCGTTTGATAGAGTATGGCACACTGGACTCTTATACAAACTCAAAAGCATTCTTCCAACTCCCTACTACCTAATTATGAAATCCTACATTGAAGATCGTTACTTCCAAGTAAAATATAACACAGCAACTTCCACATATTTTCCCATTAAATCAGGCGTACCACAGGGTAGCGTCCTGGGTCCTCTCCTTTACCTATTATTTACCGCAGATATCCCAACCACTGAAACAACCCAAATTTCAACGTTCGCTGATGACACCACCATAATCGCTGTCAACGAGGACCCCATTATCGCGTCTGCACAACTGCAAAACCACCTTAACCAATTGGGAACATGGCTCAACAAATGGAAGGTGAAAGTAAATGAAACGAAGTCATCCCAAGTTACATTTACAAACCGAAGGGATGTATGTCCAACAATCACATTAAACGATACACAATTACCAGTCAGCACACAAGTTAAATATTTGGGACTAACCCTTGACAAAAGATTAACATGGAAGCCACACATTCAAGCCAAGAAAACCCAGATCAACATCAAAATACGACGAAATGAGCTGGCTTATGGGTCGAAAATCAAAACTCAATACTGAAAATAAACTGCTCCTGTATAAATCTATGATAAAACCAATTTGGACCTATGGCGTTCAACTCTGGGGTTGCTCAAAGCCATCAAATATCAAGATAATACAAAGAGTCCAATCAAAAATATTGAGAATAATATTCAACGCGCCCTGGTATGTAAGCAATAAAACCCTACACGAGGACTCAGCTACACCTTTGGTAGAGGAAGAAATTCAAAGGATCACAAAGAGCTACCTTGATGGTCTGAGAAGTCATCCAAATGATGAAGCAAGACTGCTAAACGCTCCTCCCGAATTCTCAAGACGACTGAAGAAACAATGGCCAACAGATTTAATAAATTAAATATATTATAATCTAATGTAAAAAAATATAATAGGAGAGTTGCCACAGGGCAGCTTCTCCCTCATGTATTTAACATTCAAACTATTTACTTATAGCTTCGATGAAGCAGATTGTAAATTAAATTATGCTATAAAAAAAAAAAAAAAAAAATATAAGGTAAACAATATATTGTAGTTATCAAATTAAGTTTAATTGAAATCATGGTCTAAAATTTGTATACAGGGTAAATTACAAAACGAAATTACGATTTTCTCAATTTTTCTAAATGCATCACCCTGTATTTGATTTTTTAGAAATATTTTATTTATGATACTCTTTCATTTTTATAGAGCATTCCCTATACCTAAACTCATGATTTTCCGAAATATTTTTAGTTTTCTTCAAATTTCGGGAATACATTCAATTTTTGTAATTAGAAATAAGTATTGAGTATTGAGTGATAATGTAACAAAATTATTTTTATTCATGAAGTATAGTATAGTAATAGAGCCTATTATGGATTAGGAAAAGTTTTAACAACAAGCCTAGTTACAAAAAGAACGAAACTAATGATATACAGAACTCTTATCAAGCCGAAACGGAAACATGGACGCTTGATGCTTTGAGCGTAAAATCCTCCAACTTATCTATGGAGGAGTACAGGAAGGCAGATTATGGCGCAGACGCTATAATTTCGAACTTTACCGCCTGTATGACAAACCTGATATTATTAGGTCCATAAAAATAAACCGGCAGCGGTCTTTAGGTCACATAGAGATAATGAATGAGATGAAGCCGCCAAAACATATTTATAATCAAAGAATAGATGGAGTGAGCAGGAGAGGCAGATCCAGAGCACGATTTAAGGATCAGGTGGAGGAAGACTTGAGAATGTTGGGAGTACGAAACTGGAAAGTCAAGGCGAAGAATAGGAGAAAATGGAGACTTATCCTTGAGCAGCCAAGACAAACCATGGGTTGTGGAGCCATTAATGATGATGTAAATAAATGTTTAATAATTATTTATGAAATACATTCGACCAATATCTAGCTATTTAGATGTATGAGTAATTTTATTAGAATTGCTTAAATAAATTAAGAATGGGTCCTCGTTTGAAGTTTTTAATTTTAAGAAAATTCGACATAACTCAGAACACTCTGTACATAGGTATAGGGAAGTCTTACAAAACTATACCTTATTTTTTGCAGACAATTAGAAAATCCAAAAAAATACAGGGTATTCCATAAGAAAAAATATAACTTTGTATATCTAACAAATATAACACCCTGTATATTTCAGAATAATTTTAAAATATAGCCTTTATCAACCTACATACTATACATTTAAATTTTTTTCAAAATCTTTTCGCATTTCGCTGTAATCTTCCGTCTCATTAGTGGTGACTTACCCTGTATACCTACATGGTGATGATTTCATAGGGATTCCGAAAAATGGTCATGACTTGCTCATCATACTCTGTATAGTAATGTAAAACCCAATACTATAAGAACAAAAATTATGAAAAGAATATAAATTTGAAAAAAATATAAAGGGTGTCCCATTTAAAAAATTATATGTTTGCTCTACCACGTAGTTATTAATCACTAATAAATGCCATATATTTTCCAAGTATATAAAATATCATGGCCTACTTTTTATCTAAATAAGTTTTTTGGATATCTGGTACCACAATGGAATTATCGCCCGATGTCGCACTAAAAAGTCACCCTGTATATATATTTATAAATAGAACCTTTTTTATTTCCTGGGTTTGTCGGTCTGTTGTAAATAAAAATACTTAAATAACAAACTAATAATACTCACCGCATCTCTTAGTATTTCTTCTCTTGACATGATATGCGGCCTATTTCCTCTTTCCCCGTCTAAAACTATTGAATACACATCTGGAGGTTCGATGGCATTCAAATGTCCGGCGTAGAAAAGTCCTCCCATTGCTGTAAGAACTCTTAATTTGTCTACTGTCAATAATTCTGCCGTCAAAACACATCTTTTGTCGTCTTCCGTTGTGGTATCCTTCTCTTCATCGCACGCCGCGTTATTCATTACGATATTCTGAAAACAATGATTTAAAAAATACACGCCCAAGGTTGTTAATAGTCTAAGATCTCACTGTAGAATCACTACGTTCATAATGTAGTTAATCAAACTCACATTTTTACATACATTTAAAAATAGGAGAATACATTGATAATAAGTTGCCAGTCAAAAAGTGGCGGCAATTTTTTTTAATTCAATTAATAGTAGAGGAACTTATCCAAACCCGGGCCCTTTTCTGAAAGTGGGTCCCTAGGTTGATTAATTACTATTTAACTGGGAATAAGCCACAATTAAAGATACGTTTATTGACGTTTCAATTTTCACTTCGGAAATCGTTCTCAAAATACAAACAGTAAAACTATATTACTAAAAAATTATATTACTAAAGTATATTACTATATATAAAGTATATATATATATATATATATATATATATATATATATATATATATATAACTGGGAATAGTATTCCCAGTTAAATAGTAATTAATTACACTTTTTAACAAAAAAGTAAGTTTTACTGTAATTTGTGGCTTATAACATATTATTTGTACATGTCTCGAGATTCCATGTGGGATACAACATTTTTTAGATAAAGTACAGCTTTCGGTTATTTGAAACTTTTGTATTTTTAATCGTAAAAAAATCAAACATTTTTATTCATTGTTAAAATTCAGCACAATATAAGAATCATAAATTATTATAAAATAATTAATTTTCTGAATCTGTTGACTCATCACCAATAACATCTGGAGGCTATTTCAAGGTATTCTTTGTGATATCTTAAAGACATTACTTTTTTTAACATAATGCAGCTAAATCCTTTTTTTGCAACAATTACGGGCAGTGTTGAGGTATAAACATTCTTTACCATATTAGAAAAAAACTGTTTTAGGAGTTTCAGTTGTGTCATAAGTAGACTTCGGCAAATATGCAAATAAAAATGTAGAAAATATGCGCATAAATATGCACGTGTTTACCCCGAAAATATGCAAATATTTTACAAAATATGCATACAAATAAATAAAAAAATCGTAAAATAGTAACAATTTTATTTAAAAAAAAAAGTGTACATAACTAAATATTTCCTACTATTCATTAAGGGCGAGCGCCCACCAAAGTGGCGTGGCAGTGGCAAGTAGCAAGTAGCACGCGTCTAGCATAATGTAACCAATCCTAACGAATGATTAGAATGAATGACGTTACTGTCATTTTGGTGTAAACTGAATCATTCGTTTTCATTGGTTACATTATGCTAGACGCGTGCTACTTGCTACTTGCCACTGCCACGCCACTTTGGTGGGCGCTCGCCCTAAGATTTACATTTATTTTAAGTAACTACATCATTTTTAAGTATGAATAAACTTATTTAGAATTATGGTAACAATAAATGACCAAGTGGTGTTCAAAATTTTCTAACAAAAACTTGTGGCTTATGTCTGAGTACATATATTTATATATGGAAAAACTTCGTTCAACATCAACTGATGTAACGGGAGCGTTTGTCAAATTAACCAAAACATTTGGTTCTAAATTAATTGTTTCCGAAATATTTCCAGCTAGAACACGGACTACTTCAGAAAGAATATGGTAACCTTTATTTTTTCCATAGTAGCTTCAAATTTTTTTAAAATATCTTTTCCAATATTACCTCTAACGTTCCGACAACATGACGCAAATTCTTTTATTAATGCTGTACTTTCGAACAATGACAGTTTTGGTGATTCTAACTGAGTAATTGTTTTTTGAACAAAACTAAAATTTGATTTTATAAATGAAAGTTCATGTTGAAGCAAGTTACTCTGAAAAGTTTGTTTAGAATCCAAAAGAGATTGGGAACTTTCATCTGTTAACGTATCAATTATGTTCTTTATTTTAACAAAATGATCTGCATAAAAATTAGCTGCTTCTAACCATGTTCCCCATCGCGTTAAAATAGGTTGTGGTGGAAGAGGAATGTTAGGTAGCATTTCTTTATAAAGTTGAATTCTTATAGGAGATTTAAGAAATACTTTTTTGACACTGGATATCATGGTATTTACAAGAGGAAACTTTTTTTCGTATTTCCTCTGCAACTCTGTTTAATCTATGCGCTACACAAGTAACATGTATTAAATCTGGGAAAAATATTTTTAAATTTTGTCCTGCTTTCACCATATAAGGAGCAGCATCCGATAAAATAAGCAGTAATTTATTAGAAGGAATAGTTGTCGGAAGAAAAAAAGTTGCTAATGTTTCTTGTATAGAACGCGAAATTGTTAAAGCATTTGTTTTCTCAAGTTGCTGGCATGAAATAAGATGAGATTTTGGTAAGATATCTTCTTTAAGAACACCAATCAATAAATGAGCAATATACTTTCCTGAGGAATCAGTGGATTCATCTACAGATATGTAAAAATAATTATCTGCAATTTCTTCCTTAATATTAATTAACACCGACGAGTATAGTCCGTTCACATTATTTCTTCTTAGAGACCGATCACTTGGAACATTAAGTTTGCAATATTTTTTAGAAACGAACTAAAATTTACATTTGCTAATTTTGAAAGCGGTATGTTTGCAGACACTAATGCGCGACACAAGTCTTCATTAAAAGTTTCTTGCTCATCTAATTTTTTTGAAGTAGATTGGAAACATTTAGCCATTGAAGTTTGATGTTTTCCTCCTATTTTTCCTTTTTTTGCAATGTGTGAAGCAGTTCTCACATGTTGGTCTATCTGAAATTTCTTCTCACATGCTATCTATAAATAAAATAAAAACTTTTATTTTTACCCAACCTTTAAAATATAAAAATATACAAGGTGTTTTTAGTTAATCAAATAACTGGTTTGGAAAAAAAAACACTCGCTAAGTGTTTTAAATGCAGTATTAATCCACAAATTAGTATTTGTTACTAACCATTAGTACATCATGTAACTTATTTTAAAATTCAATAAAAGTTTTTTTTTTTGTTAATTCAATTACAATAAAAATAATTGTGTTTTAGAATAGCTGACTTCATAAAAAAAAGTAAAGGTGAAAAATTTTTCTATATACACACCATTGTATTGTAGCATGGACAATTTTTTCTCACTAAAGGAAGCTATTTTTCATTTAAAAACAACGTACGAGTACTAAATTTCAAGTAAATACGTTTATTGGTTTTAAAGTTATTGTTGTTATTAACTAAAAGAATTTAATTTTTTTTAATTTTAACACCCTGTATCTCGAAAAGTAAATAAGTTTGACCCCTCATTAACTATATCGTTTTGTTCAATTTTCGAGAAGTATCTACAGTCAAACGTTGTAAGTGTCATTTGGAAACACCCTGTATGTATGAAATATTAGATATTTAATAGAAAATATTAGATACTTACAATTTTGCCACAGACTGAACAGTAGATTTTTCCCATATCCATAGACAGCTCTTTATAAGGTTTAATCCAAGTTGAAGCACTGGTTGTTTTAGGCATTATAAAATCACAATCTTCCTTTTTGTTACGCACAACGAGTGTTTACGCTTTGAATATCAAAACAAAAATGATTTACAAATCTGAGCATCAAATTAGAAATGTTTAGGTACCTAATTCAATAAACTGGGAGATTTTGGAAAATCCCTAAATTAGGAACAAAACATTTAGCCGTTTACCTGCTGTTAAGATACAATAAATTGTAGATAGATTTGGGGATTAGATCATAAAATGCAAATGAGCGAACCCTTAGCGATTATCCAATAACTGAATGCCTCAGTGACCGAGACTTTCTAAGAATGTTGAGGGCTACTTAAATTGATCTTCTTTGAAATTGTAAATGTTTTGTACCTGTAGAGATTACGTACTTAGATCATTTCTTGATTAAAATGACTACAAAATTTTATACAAGAATTGAAATAAATTGGTATGTTTAAAAATTTTCAAATACAGTATAAAAATCTGAACTGTTATTAACTTAATGCAAACTTTTATTCAAATATGCCAAAATATAAAATATTTGCATAAAATATACACAATATGCAAAATATGCAAAATGTGTGAGTCGTTTTTCGTTATAATCACCCTTCGTTCACTACGAATCTGGCGGTCTTCGCTTGTACTTTCTTCCTGCACTGATTTCCAATGTTCTAAGTACGAGTGATCACTTATGGGGCCTTGGATTTGTTCTACTGTTGGTAATAATTGTTGGCCATTCCGTGGGGGCCCACCCATTTTTCTTTCGGTAGTTTGATTTTATTACGGAATGTATAGAATCTGCTGGCATGTAGGTGTGTCCTGGAAGCAAATAGGTAAGATTTACTTCCTCTGCAGTTTTAGATCCCTTGGCAAAAGAGTGTAGCAATGCCAGCATTTGGCGAGTTTTAGTTTGTCCCGGGCAACTATCACAAAAGAACGATATTATCTTCACCTCAGGACTTCGGATCTCTACATCTTTTGGATAATTAAATTGGAGCATATTTCATTAGATCCCCTCTTGTCATCAGATTCGCCCTATAAATAACAGAATCCATTAGGTGTCCCACTTTCGTATTTCCTTGAATAATACAGAAGGATATTTTCACCATGAGGAGTATTCAGAACTTTTTGAAGGTCAAAGGAAACGCATAAAAAGTTTGAATCTATTTTAGATATTATTTGATGTGCTTTGAACAGAGCCAGCGACAATTTTTTTTCATGTATATGAGATGCAAAAATTTCTGAATGCATATCACTCTCCTTGCTTCCTTCACATATTGCACACTTATCTTTTTGGAGAATATGGATCCCAATATTGTAGTCACTAAAAATTCTTCGAAACACTATCTGTCACAGGTGTTATTCCTTCTTGCTGACAAAAACCTTTTTTATAGATTTTATAAATATTAGATTTATTTTTGTACTCCGATGGAAGCTATAGCCTGTTGGAATCATTTCTGCAATAATGTGATGGAACAGTTGGTAATGATTCAATGAAAATTTTAACCCTTAACTCATCATTATCTTTAGTTTTATTGGTAGGAGCCTTTTTTCCTCTCATATCTGGTTTGGGAGTGTGTATATCAG